AAGACTAGAAGATATAGGTATCAGATTTAGTGTCGCAAATTCAGAGGCATTTTTGGCTTGTGCTCAGGCTAAGTCTTCATTAGTTGAGCGCATTAAGGCCATCTAATATGAGGATGAGCGATTATGCAAATACAAAGATGAGGCCTTAACTGGTAAAAGCAAGGATAAGATTATTGAAAGTGACGGTGTTCTTTGAATGGGTGACAGGCTATGTGTAGCAAACGTAGATGGGTTGAGACAGTCTATTCTTGAAGAAGCTCACAACTCTAGATACACTATACATCCTGGATCCACAAAAATGTATCATGACCTAAAGCAATTTTATTGGTGGGAAGGTATGAAGAAAGATGTTGCTAACCTTGTTTCTAGCTGTTTGACTTGCCAGCAGTTCAAGGCTAAGCATCAGCGACCTGCAGGTCTACTACAACAAATTGAGATTCCAGAGTGGAAATGGGAAAGAATTACGATGGATTTTGTGACTGGCCTACCCCGTACTCTTAGAGGTTATGATTCTGTGTGGGTAATTGTAGATCGATTAACAAAATCAGCATACTTTTTGCTAGTGAAGACTACATATAGTGGAGTGAGGTATGCACAGATATTTATGAACGAAATTGTCCGACTTCACGGAGTTCCAATATCCATCATCTCTGATAGAGAATCACAAGTTACTTCACACTTTTGGAAATCTTTTCAAGAAGCATTGGGTGCACGAGTACATCTTAGTACTGCATTTCATCCACAGACAGACGGGCAGTCAGAACGTACTATACAAATCTTGGAGGATATGTTGAGAGCCTATATTCTTGAGTTTGGAGGTAGTTAGGACTCCTATCTACCTTTAGCTGAATTTGCTTACAACAATAGCTTCCAGTCCAGTATCCAAATGGCACCGTACGAAGCATTATATGGTAGAAGATGTCGTTCTCCTATCGGATAGTTTGAAGTTGGTGAGACTAACTTATTGGGATCCGACTTAGTACAAGAAGCTATGGACAAGGTCCAGTTAATTAGACAGAGATTGCTTACAGCTCAAAGCAGACAAAAATCTTATGCGGATAAGAGAAGAAGAGACTTAGTGTTCGCAATTAGAGACAAAGTGTTCCTACGAGTCTCCCCTATGAAAGGCGTGATGCGGTTTGGGAAAAGAGGAAAGTTGAACCCCGGGTTTATAGGACCGTATGAGATACTAGACCGAATGGGAGTTGTGGATTATCATTTGGCACTTCCTCTTGAGTTGTCTTTTATTCATCCAGTGTTTCATGTCTCAATGCTAAGAAAATGTATATCAGACTCATCTCAGGTGCTTGAAGCACCGACTATACCGCTCGATGAGAAGTTGTCTTATGAGGAGGAGCCGATGGCTATTGTTGTTAGACAAATAAGAAAACTACTGTCAAAAAACATTGTGTTCGTGAACGTCTTATGGAGAAATCATATTGTTGAAGAAGCTACATGGGAAATAGAAGATGCTATACGAGTCAATTATCCTCATTTATTTCAGTCTACAGGTACGTACCTGAGCTAAATTCGGGGACCGAATTATAAGGTAGGGAGAATGTAATACTTCTCATTACAAAAAAGGGTAATTAAGTAATTTATCCGGAAAAAAAATTAACTAATAAAAAAAATACAATATAAGATGAAATAGGGGCAAAACCCTACGCTAACAGAAACAAAAGAATAAAGGGGCAAGCAACTTTACTCGGCAGAAGCAAAACGGACAGAGGCGATCAAAAGCAACCACAAAGTGGGTTTACTCTGTTCTAGCAAAGGGATTTACAGAGAAGGGGAACAAATTAGGTAATTGAATTCTAAACCTTTTCCATGGTAATCTGATTCTTCTACTTAATACTTAGCACACTATTAGCTATTACTTCGTTAACTAAGGGAAGAAATAACAAAATTCAAGTTACTTTTAATCTAGTACAGACAATGAAATTTTATATACATGATTCTTATAGGGCTGAGTAGATATAATTTTGGAATTTGGATTAAGAATTTGAAAGATAAAGTTGAGGAAATTGGGAGAAACTCATGAGACTTTTCCGTGAATTAACTCTGTATAGCATATGAATAAGTTGTATTTAATAGATTTTGAAATATTCTAAACTACCAGTAGCGTGAGTAAGTATAAATTGACGAATTAAGAGTCAAACATGAACCCAAGGGTTGGGTATTCTAAATTAGCTATGAATTAGCTAAAACAAGGAAATTAACATGAGATCAACATTAATGTGATTATAGACTGATTGAAGAAAATCGTACAGATCGTTTGAGGTGACGAGTTTGGTATTTCGCACGAAGTACTGTGAATAGTAATCTTGCCGCAATTTGTGTTTTCATAACTTGCATGATTTACACATGATTTTTAATATGAATATATTACAAATTATTTTGAGTTGCATGTGGGACAAATCTTTTACTCGATATGATACTGAAATAGTTATTTGAGATGATTACCGTTGTTTTAAATATTTCAGTTGTCACTAGATATGTTTTACCGTTACTCGAATTTACTGTTATCGAAACGAAATTTCATGATTTGATAAGAACCGATATGCCCTACATTATTTTAAAATATTTTCCTACGAGTATATATGGATTACAGAGACAAGTATAAATGGGAGTAAACTTTGAAGGATCCAGTAGCTAATGGCGGGTTCGTTAGACCTGGTGCACCTTGTAATTACCGATTACTATTATAGCCCTCACTAGTGGTAAGGTAGAACTAGCATACCGTTACCGATTTTTCTCGAGTAGGGACTACCATTATATTTGACTTCTTGCGAAAAAGTTCACAGTTATACCGATTACATGATCCATTCATTGAAATCTCCCAAACATGAATATTGATATTACACAGTATTTACCGAGCTTATTACCGAATTGTCAATTGATTTATATTACATTAAAAACATGATGATACTGATTATTGTTTATTGTTTCTAAAAGGGCATTCTTATGATATTTTCTGTTTAATATATATACTAGCATATTTTCTGACTTGTCCTCAATAAAAACGGTTGTGGTTAAGTGTTATTACTCATTGAGATAGCTACTCATTGCCCGCTAATTTTTTTTACAGAGACAGCAGTTGACGCGGGTAAGGATTTCGTTAATTAGAGCGCACAGGTTGATAGTTCTTGGTGAGCCTCACACTTGTTCGCGTGGGCGGAGATTTTATTTATTGTTATGGTCTTTTCTTTGAACTCTTAGAGTCGCTCCATAGTCATTCTTTTAGTGTCATGAGTATTCTTTTGTTATTATAGATTTATATTGAGTATCGCTCTTATTATCAAAGTTGGAGATAAATTTATATTTTTAATTGTTAGTGGGTGGACTATTAATGGTAGATATTGGTTTGGGTTAATTGATAAAGCTATTGTTGTTTGGATTGATATTAGGATATTTGATTGTTGATTTGAGACAGAAAATTTTTTTGGGATAGTCCAAAAATAGGGGAAACTCTGTCCGATTTTCTGTAAAATACCGATGAGGCTTACTTGGGGGCACTTGCTCCTAAGTGCCAGTCATGATCCTAAATTGGGTCGTGACAGATTCATACATTATACAACTATTTTTCAAGTTTCATACAACATTCAAATAAAAAATATATATAACTACAATAGAATACAATTTACATACAATTATACTACAACTTTACTACAATTTCGTAAGTATATTGTATGTCATGTGTTCTTCTTCTTCTTCGACGAGTTTCAATCTTAAATTCAGCCAAAATCAAGTCTAATCTTCACCAAACACCTTCAAAATTGAGATATAAACTCCAAACAATATTCTCAATTATTTGCAACAACACCCAATCAAAACAAATAATGGTTTTTGAAAATCCAAATTCGAATTCAAAGCTTCAAAACTTTTTAATGGCTGTCAATGGTGGAGAGTCAAACACATGAATACTAAAAACTCTTTACTGCTCATCGTCGAGGAGGATTTTCATCCAACTCATTTCATCCAACTTTGGACAGTAGTACAATGCTTCAACAGAGCTATTCAATAGAAAAGCCAATCACCTTTAAAGAGTTCAATACCAAATTTAATTTGTGACTGGTTCAGGTATTTTGTAGCCAAAGTTTATCGTTTCGAGGCTCATAACCCACTTGATGTTCAAGCCAATCTTGTCAATCACTCAAGCTATTCCAACAACTCAGCACGATCTAGGATTGTATACTTCGGGCCTACACTTTTCCGATGTCGGGAGCTGCTATTGCTACTATCAGATACTCAAACATAGTTAACACCATTGTTCCCTTAAGTTATACCTTTTTCCAAGCAAAGAATCCCCTAATTTAAGGCATTAATAATGGATTGCGAGCCTTTTAAGGTGGAATGTATATAATTTATAAGTAATCCTTGTTTATGACGGGTAATATACAAAATTAGGACAATTTTAGTAAATAAGTTTCTAATATTGTATAGGAAGGAGAAAATCCCTAAAAAAATTAATCTTATTTTAATTAAGTAAATAAAAGTGTCACATCACTAACCACTTAAGTTCTTAAACGAGATATGGTCACATAATTTAACCTTGTAATATAAACAATTAGAACATATTGTATCTACTGCCCACAATTACTGCAATTTTAGGAGAAACCATACTCGAAAATTGGTACTACTCGCAATTATGGTAACTGTTGAATTTGCAAACTTTGAAAGAAATCTGCAAAATTTGTGACGCCTAGTACTGTGACCATGCTCATATGAACGTACTAAACAATCTCATTTTCTTAGCAACGCGAACTGGTAAACAATCTCAATGTAGAATTGCAGATTTAACCTTCAAATCTCCTGTGAATGTAAGTCAAACTTTTGTTATAAAATGCATAAACTAGCATCAAGAACAGTCCAATCGCACTCAATTTCTGTCTTGATTCCGTAGTCTTGAAACTACTTCAACCAGAATATAGCCTTATTCCATAACAATATTACCATTACCAGTGTGACAACCACTTCCCAATCAAAATGAAAGAAAATACTAACGATGAGAAAACACTGCTGCCATCATATAACACCGCGAAAATGCCAAAATTCTTAAAACATCAAAATCCCAGTTCAGGGGAGATGGCAAAGCCACATCTCTACAACAATAAGGAATGAAACGACTAATGAGAAAAGGCAGAAGCACTCTAAACCTAAAGACCAAAGGAATTACGCTCACGCTTGTAGGAACTTTTTGTCTTCAAATGGTGTGATCCATTGCTCAAACTCTGAAAGCCTGAGTTGGGCGTCAAAGTCCTTCGCGTTCCATGCTCATCATGTAGCAAGTTGTCAATGATATCAAGATGTGGAAATTCATTGGCAAATACACTCTGGTACTCAGAGGGAATGTGATCAGGGGTTCTGTAGTTTAAAGGCTTGAACATATCAAAATTCCTATTCTCATTTCGTATAGAAGCATGATCTATCGATGTATTCCTGCTTCTGTCCCTCCAGGAATACTCCCATTGCTGTCCATTCTGCATGGTATCATGATTCACCATTTCATATGAATAGCTTGGTCTAATTAGACTAGGTTCTATTCTTTCCAAGCCCTGTGGAAAACATACCGGGCCAGAGATCGGTAAAGGTAGTTGAGGATATGAATCTGAAGAGTAAACACTGAATTATGCTGGTACTGCTGAGAAATCGGGGCTTGGTTGTGTATATAGCCGCTACTGCTATTATTTCTCGGTTCAATATGTGACCCAACGCCGGCCATCTGTCGGTGGTTGACGATTTCTTTCTTGTGAAAATTTCTGTGGCAATTACAAGCTGCACATTTCAGGGCTCCTGGGGTCCCTTGTCCTTCACTAGGCATGAATTCTCCACATCCATCGACAGCATGCCCTCCCATACTTGCAGCATGATTCTTGAGACATTCCCCGTATCGGATTGAGCTAGTAGTGTCCCTTACTGAGGTCGTCGATGGTGGTTGTAGTTGTGTTGGCCCGAGAGTCATATTTGGTTCTCGATCCAAGTGCATATCCCTGTCTACTTTATACGAATTGAGCTGGTTATGCTGCTGAGCAAGGGTGTGCTGATCCAACGCTTGGCTAGGGCTGGGAAAGGTGCTTCCACGGCCATGGGCTTTTCAGCTGTAGCAGGGGCAGTCACTTGATGAGACAGGAAATTCTCAGATGTAATTGCAACTGACTGCACTAAGGGATTCTCCATGTCTTTTGGCTCTAAGGCTTTATGAGGATCAGCATTCAATAACACAGCAGTTTCAGCTGAATTAAACAAGGGAACTGATTTCTGAGTCAGGTTGAAGTTATCTGAGATCGATCTCTTAACTGAGATAAGGTCATTTTTAACTGAGACCTTCAACTTGGACATCGACTGAATGGCCGAGCCTATACTTCTTGGAGGGTTTCTAGGAGAACTTACACTTGGCATCTCCAAGGAAGGTTTTTCTCTATCAGCCTCAGTCAGCTCGCTCCGATGCGAAATTGCTACTTCCTGCTTACAATAAAAAAGAAATGCCATATAAGAAATGCCATATAAAAATTGGAAGTCATTGAAAAATGACATACACATAATCATTGCGTCCACAGAAAAGAACTTTTTTCCTCTAACTTTGTAAATGGCGAAGGCTTAATGTACACATAAACTAAGGAAGAACAAGCATGCATGCCAGCAAAATACATGGTCGCTCTCTAATATATCAGGATATAGTATTCCTCACATGAATATAAAGATGAACAGGAGACTAAGCTTGCCACAGATTCTATCTTTTCTTACATTTCCTTTTTATCCAATCTATACACCAACATAAAGGAAATAGCGAAAAGAAAGGAACAGAGTAAAAGCTTTTTAATAAAACAAATGTTTTAGGTGCCACAACTATTTCTGGGAAGAATTTTAGTGGATCCATAGAAGGTAAATTGATGATGGGTAAAAAGAGAAGATAACAACCTTCTTCAACACTTGCTGCCGAGCATCTGGAAGATCATCTAACAGCTGACTATGTGCTTTGCTAGCGGAATCAGCTACATCACTAGTTGACTTGCTTTGATCTTTATGGTTCGAAGATAGTCCAGTTGTAACAACCGGAGGAATCGTGTATGTGGAGCACGTTGATGAATTAACGTTCATAACATAAGGACTTGTTCCATCAATCATATTCTGTGGAGCTGAAAGGCCACTTAACCTGCAGCAAGTAGTTCCTATAGAAGGATGCATTTTAGAGGTGCCTGTATCACAATTAACAGGACTTGCATCACTGTCTCCGAAATCAGGATGAGCTACTTCTGGAACGACATGTAGCGAATTAGAAACATCTGAAACCTCTTCAAGTATGTCTGGCTTTTCAAGTACTGCTTCTGCCGCCTCAGTCTTGTACTCATTTTCACCACCAATAAGCTCATCTCGTTCAGTCTTCTGTAGCTCCATAACACCCCTCTCCTTATCCATTGCTTTCTGCTCCTGTTTACCCTGGATTAAAAGGTAAGAATGACAAAAGGCTTTCAATAAAAATTCTGAACCGAGTACTTTTCCACGAAGCGAAAAGGATAAACATTTTCACTAACCCTCTTAGTGAAAAAAAACTGACAAAATAAGAGCTTCTGCATTAACTAGTTCACTAAGGCTATAACTTTTAATCTATCCCAGCACCGATACGTCACAATTTTCTCTTTACCCTCTTTCATTTGATTTCTTAATCTAAAGGCTTTCTTCTTTTTTTCTTCTATTTCTTTGAGGGAGGTGCAGTTACCCAAAGAATGAATGAAATGATTTAACTTTCAATTCTGCTTTTATTATTGCAATATTGTGTTTTTATCGAGCTCATAATGAAAAATATAAAAAAATTATAGCTAGGAAGTAGGACAACAGCATACGCAATTGTCGAACAACACATAAAAATTACACTGATGCCAACAATTAAAGCTAAGCAAAATTTTCAAACCAAAGATATTACACCAAAAGTAAATACTAGAACTCAGACATGAAGAGCTCCTTAGTGTAGCATTTCCCGTAAGTGCGCTTCACACAAAAAGAATTCCAAGCAAGGCTAAATATTGCTCTCTTTACCCAAACGATAAATAGCTGATAAAACAGACTCAATTTTAATATTTAACTATTCATTGTGCTTGAGGCATGCACAAATTTAACTTCAGCACTTCAGTGGAAAAAAGTAGCACATAGTTAATGTGAAAATTCAGCAATGGATAACAGATGACAGAGGCAACATAAAGATGTAGTAAGTCATCCACTTGACAAAACCTCCTGCAAAACACTGTCTCAGTATCTTAATGGATAAACTGTAAATAAAAATTATTTTGATATCTTATCTATGCAAAATCAAAAACCATAGACATAAGCAAAAGATAAAGGCTAAAGCTTTTACGGTGGGATATACAGTTGTTACAGTGCTTCCTATTAGAAGAGGTGCCATGATAAATTACGTAGAGGTACCAAAACTGGATTTAAAGCACTCACTACTTCATGGTGGATATCTCGCGACCACCAGGAAATCTGCATGACAGCGCCAGCAACAATGAGCGTTTTCTTGGACAAAACAGTGTCATAATCCGCTTCATTGGTGAAATCAAGAGATACTTGTTGAGAAGTGTAATGTGTAATTTTCACTTGGCCTTTCAGAGGGTTCTTTGCAATGAAATCAGCTCGAATTTCTTTGATTCGTGGCTTCCTTTGGAAGAAATTCCCTATCAAAGAGAGCTTACAATCGGGGACAAAGCTTTCACAGTAGTTTCTGGAAAGGTTATTGCCTGGCGTCCCCTATAGGTTGAATATTGCACTTGGATCAGAGGTTTTGATTTTCGATCCTCGTGGCATTCTCCTATTGTAAGAGCATCTAATGGCTGATTAAGTGTTGCACATGCCAAATCAGCTGCAGTACTAGTTGACTTGCTTCCATATTTCCACCCTCTAAAAAGTTGAAGCACCGGGAATTAAAACTATCACAGACATTCTCAAAAGATATCCAAATAAATGCCGAAAATAAGTGGCAGAAAAATGTTACCTGCCATACGACTTTTGGCTGTTATGGTTTGAATAAGTCTCTCTGAAAGACACTGACTCTGTGGAACACATCGATGAACTATCATCCATATCAGATGGAATTCTTTCTGCAATCCCGTCGGAAGCAAATGAAAGGCCAATTGACCCACTGCAACTAGTTTCCGCAGAAGCATGTATTTCAGAGGTTTCAGTACTGCAATTGACAGGACTTGCGACTCTTTCCTCGGAATCAGAATGAGTTGCTTCTGGGACACAATCTACTGAATCAGAAATATACAAACCATCTTCAATGTGTGTGTTTTTAGGTGCTGCTTCTGACTTTTACTCCCGTACTCATTTTGGCCACCAATATGCTCTTTCTTATCTAGCTCCATAATGCCAAGTGTTTCATCCCTGCCTTCTTCTTTAGCTGTGTGATTATCCGGTTTCATCTTTGTCTGCATTACAAGGTAACCATGAAAAACTACATCAAAACACTATTCCAAAACAAGCACTTTCTTCAGGAGGCAAAAAGGATAAGAATTTTCACTTACCTTCTTGGAACTCAAAAGAAAATTGTCAACTAAGAGCTTCCCCGCACACTATTTGACAAAGACTACAACTTTAAAATTACTCCTAGCACAATCAGTTTTCTCTTTAAATCAACTTTAAAACAATTTGACAACATTTGTTTCTGCTTCTATACAGCATTATTATTATTATTATTATTGACAAATTTCTACATTGCATTACCACTACATATTTTCTCAATGATTACCGTCTTTCTGCATAAGGAACTTTTTATTAGTCAAGCTCAGTGACGAGATCACAAAAGAAAGCAAAAGCTAGGCAGTACAATAGCAGTATATCCATTCATCTAATACAGCACAGAAACTACACTAATGATGCCAATAACTAAAATCCAAGACCCCAATTTTCAATCCAAAGATAGTGCAACAATGGTAAATACTAAGTCTCAGACAAAGAGTTCCTTGGTCCAGCATCTCCTAAAATTGCAATTTAACATTTCCAAGCAAAGGCTATAATTGCTTTTCAACAACAACAACCCAGTAAAATCCTAGAAGTAAGGGGTCTGGGGAGGGTAGTGTGTACACAGACCTTACCTCTACCCACATGGAGTAGAGAGACTGTTTCCGATAGACCCTCGACTCAAGAAAACGAAAAAGACGAAAGAGACAATATATCAGTACCATCAACAGAAACCATAGAAATAATAAAGCATTATAAACCAAAAAATAGTTGAAACGCAATACAATAACCAGTAAAGAAAAACGGGAGAATAGTGAGAACACAACATAAACTACTAAAAATCTAAGACAAACCCTATCAGTCTATCCTCACACCCGGAACGAAGTAGAAAAATGTTCAACTACCTCCTAACCTACAACCCCAATGCTCGATCTCCAAACCTTCCTATCAAGGGCCATGTCCTCGAAAATTTGAAGTCACGCCATGTCCTGTCTGATCACCTCTCCCAATACTTCTTAGACTGCCCTCTACCACTTCTCGTTCCCGCCAAAGCCAACCGCTCACACCTTCTTACCGGGGCAATCAGGGCTTCTCCTCCGCACATGCCCAAACCATCTGAGTCTCACTTCCCGCATCTTGTCATCTATAGGAGCCATGCCCACCTTCTCCCGAATATCTTCATTCCTAATCTTATCCATCCTAGTGTGCCCACACATCCACCTCAACATCCTCATCTCTGCTACTTTCATATTCTGTATATGTGAGTTTTTAACCGGCCAACACTCTAGCCCATACAACATGGCCGGTCTAACCACCGTTGTATAAAACTTACCTTTGAATATCAATGGCACTTTCTTGTCACACAGGACTCCAGATGCTAACCTCTATTCATCCAACCCACCCATATACGTTGTGTGACGTCCTCATCGATCTCCCCGTCCTCCTGGATAACCGACCACAGGTACTTGAAATTGCCTCTCTTGGGGATAACCTGTGATCCAAGCCTGACGTCCATGCTCGCTTCCCTCGATTCGGCGTTGAACTTGCACTCCAAGTATTTTGTCTTTGTCCTGCTCAACTTGAAACCCATAGACTCAAGAGCTTGTATCCAAACCTCCAACCTCTCGTTAACATCGTCTCGCGTCTCATCAATCAGAACTATGTCATCAGCGAATAACATACACCATGGAACCTCCCCTTGAATATGTCGTGTCAGTGCGTCCATCACTACGGCAAATAAGAACGGGCTGAGCGCAGATCCTTGATGTAACCCCATAACAACTGGAAAATGCTTTGAGTCGCCTCCCACTGTCCTAACCCGAGTCTTAACTCCGTCATACATGTCTGCATGTCTTTGATCGCTCGAATGTAAGCTACTGGCACACCTTTTACCTCCAGGCATCTCCAGAGAACCTCCCTAGGGACCTTGTCATACGCTTTCTCCAGGTCAATAAACACCATGTGCAGATCCTTCTTCCTATCCATGTATAATTCCACCAACCTTCTAATAAGATGGATAGCTTCCGTGGTCGAACGACCCGGCATGAACCCGAATTGGTTGTCGGATATAGATACCGTCCTCCTCACCCTCATTTCCACCACCATTTCCCAAACTTTCATAGTGTGACTTAGTAACTTGATACCCCTATAATTGCTCTTCATCTTCGAAATTTTAAATGTTGATAACAACCCCAACACTCCTCCTTCTAAAAAAGTAAATTGACAGTCTATACGAAAACTTATCAACGTGTAATAGGTAACAGATACAAAGTAAGGA